GTGTCCACTTTTTTGTTTGTGGAAATATGGTAACCCTAAAACTAAGTTTTCTTCAACCATCATAAGATCTGTTTCCTTATCTGGTGATAGTGGGGGCGATTAGGACAGGGTCTGCTTCTTAACAGCCCAATATTAACATTTTTTTAATGTAATTTAGCTAGAATGAGAGGATGTGACTTCCTGCTTCTCAGCTAATGGCTGCAGCTCTTGGAATCTTGCTGCAGACGAAGACCTTAGGCTTTAGGCCTTACAATATGGTTACAGAAAAAGGCCTTATCCTTACAACTCCAACTGCCCTGGGCAGGCCTCCAAGATGCCCGAGAGCAGCCCTTGACCTTTGTCCCTGCACCTCAGGGCAGGCGGAAGATATGGGGTTCCCCACAGCAGCCCAGGCTCCCTGGGCAGCGCTTACCACAACCTGGCTCTGACTTCCAGCCTGGCCAGGGGACAGGACCTCAGGGGGCAGAGGAGGAAGTGGGCAGGGCATGACCAGCTCCTCCACTGCAAATCGCAGCCCCTGCCTCTGCTGCTTCCTGCCTTTCCAAGGCTCCTATGCCCATATTAAAAGGTGGAGACACCATGGCCCCCTTGCCCCCCCCTGGATCTGGCACCACTGCACTGAGTGAGTTTAGGTACCTATAGGATTCCTTAGGAATTTTCTACATTGAAGTGCTTCAGAAACTGAGATTTAAGCATCTTAAACAGGGACTTTGGGACCCAACTGATTGTGTGTATCCAGGGTAACATTGTTATCCCATGGGCAAGTTCACGTTGCCTTGTATTTTTTGTGTCCACTGAGCTATGGAAGAGAGGATAGCAGGGGTGATTTATGGTCCTGTGTTTAGGGAAGGTTTGATGACATGCCTGTGAGAGAGGCAGTGTAACATATTGTGAGATAGATTGTTCTCTGCCGTGTGAAAACCTCATTTTCATGAGCAAATCTGCGGGCATGGTTAACCCAGGGAAATTATTTCTCATCACTACTTTTGAACAAAATTATTTTTGTTTCATTTTAACAATTCTATTTTTTAATGAATCAACACAAAAGAATGTCTTTCATAAAACAGATGGAATGGAATAAAAACTAACATTTTATTTATTAATTTGTCTTTTTTCCACTATCTACAAAACAATTTATGATCCGGAGCAGAAGCAGAGAGAACAGAAGCCCAGAGATCCCAGCAGCCATGGCCTCAGGGACTCCTGTATGGGAAATCCAAGAGGAAACCAAATGTCCCATCTGCCTGGAATATCTGACGGACCCAGTCACCATACAGTGCGGGCACAATTTCTGCCGGGTCTGCATCACTCAGCACTGTGAGACATGGGAAGAGCAGGACTCGGACCCCTTGTGCTGCCCCAGCTGCAGAGTCCGAATCCGGAAAGGGGCTCTCCACAGTAACTATCAGCTAGCAAATATAGTGGAAAAACTCAAACAACTGGATTTCAAACCAGGAAAAGAGAATCTGTGTGAGAGACACGGCAAAGCCCTGGATCTGTTCTGTGAAGAGGACAGAGAAGCCGTGTGTGTGGTTTGTGAGAGATCCCCCCAGCACAGATCTCACCAGGTGCTTCTCATAGAGGAGGCTGCCCAGAAATACAAGGTAGGAAACACTGTGGATCCGGGTTAATTCAATTCTTTCCTTTTCAGATTCAGTCTCTCAGAGCCACAGAATCTCCTAATTTCCCAGATTTTCTCCCTTATCTCTGGATCCACCTAAATCTCTCCCCCACAGTCTCCTTCCTCTGGGCAGGTGCAGGTGCCTTGGCCACTGATGGCCAGCACCCAGCCTGTCATTAGGGAGACATGGGCACCAGAGCTCCATGTGAGGCACTTTCCTCACACACAGGACTGAAGCCAGATGTGGCTGTGCTGCTGCCAGGCCAGGCATGGAAGGCATGAGCTGCGCTCACCACACCCCTGACAGCATGGGCAGCGGGTATCAGAGGCAGAGGAAGGCAATGCCTTCTCAAACTGCCAGGCATAGCCCCGCCCACACTCCGTCCCCAGGCACCTCCCTGCTTCCGCCGAGGCTCCCGGATCCTCAGTCTCCTGGGGCTGCCTGGGCTTTAGGCTGGGGCAGGCTGGGGCCGCGCACCACCCCTGTGCTCCGGGGCCATGGGGCACTGGGGCCACATTCTGCCCACTTAGCGGGTGGGAGGTTGGGGGTGCTCATGGACTGGGGTCTTGCCCCCATAGAAACAGCTGAGTTTAGAGGCTGCAGAGGGGGCAGGAGGGAAGAGGGTGTGTGGGGAACACCAGGAGGCTCTGAAACTGTTCCGTGAAGAGGATCTAACTTCAATCTGTCGGGTTTCCCATCTGTCCTGGGCTCACAGAGCTCACACAGTGGTTCCGGGTGTACAAGATACAGAGTTGCTGTTCAGTCTAATGGGTAATTACTTTGAATTTTAATTACAGGTTAATGGCATCACAAGTTGCCTTAAACCAGGGCTGCTGACAGACTCGCCAGGCCTCTGGGCAAGGGTGTGTGGGGGGACAGCTCTGGTTCTCCAGAAGGGGCAGGGCCTCAGGGAGAAGGGGCGGGGCTGGGGCTAGCCTACCCTAGACAGCCCTTCAGCACGGCCCAGGCCATGCTGCATAGGGCTCCAGCGGCGATTTAAAGGGCCTGGGGCTCTGGCCACCGCTGTTCTTGCAGGAGCAGCGGCGGCTGCCATGAGCCCCGGGTCCTTTTAAATCACCAGGCCCCGGGGCAGCTGCCCCTTTTGCCTCCCCTGCTGGTGGCCCTGCCTGACACAGGTGTAACTGCATCATTCAGCTGTGTGTAGCCTTCACTGCATGAAAGCGGATATACCCATAAACGATACTCCAGCCTCGCAAGGAAAGCAACAGAGGAAGATTTTAAATTTGTCTGATGGCGGGAAAGTATTTTCTCTGAACAGCTGAATCCTTTTCAAACCCAGCTCCCACCAGTGAACTATGGGACCTTCCTACAGCCCAGAGGCTGTTAAAAGATCCATGAGGTTTGAGTCTAGATGATGCTGAATGCACAAGAGCTGCAGGACAGTCCATGTGAGAGTGTTGCTTTCAGAGTGCAGAAGGGGGAGTTACAAGTTGTGTCTGTTATTACTGATTGTATCACAGTGTTTGTTTAATATTATTTCCCTCCCAGAAGCCCCTATAGACCCCAGATGAGATCTGACCTCGATTGTGAGGGGCCCTACACAAAACCCTGAGCCATTTACAGTCTAACTGGACAAGACAGACAAAGGGTGGGAGGGGAAACTCAGGCACAATAAGGGGAAGTGACTTGTCCAAGGTCACTCAGTAGGTCAGTGGCAGAGCTGGGTATAACACCCACTTTTCCAAGTCCAAGTGCAGTCTCCTATCCACTAAGCTATGCTGCCTCCCCCTCCCCACCCCCAGCAGCATTGAGCAGTGATGAAGTGTGGCCATTAGGAGGAAAAGACTCCTTGATAAAGGCCCCAGGACCAGCAGGGAGACGAGGTTTCCCACTGGGATTCTGAACTCCTGTGTTGCTCTCTGAGGGGTTAAACTCAGATGCTGCCGGCCTGCACTAGAGGAGGTCACTGGGCTAACCGCTGCATGGGACCCCAAGCACCTTCAGTTCGCGCACACAAAAGGGCTCCAGACAGCTCAGGTCCATGCCAAGTACCACTGGGATTAGACCGGGTTGTAGCAAAACTAACCACAGGCTGGAGCTGACCGGTGCCAGTCTGACCTGTTGTGTATGTGGGCAAGGATCAGCCAAAGTGGTTCCATTAGTCCCACCAGGCAGTGTTTTGAAATCTCCCAGACTCCACTGCTCCCGGGATCTTTATGGAGGAATGGGACTGTGGGGTACCTGCCTAGGGGGCATTGCCATGGAAATGGTTTAGGACAGCACTGGGGCAAACCCCAACCGTTCTTAAGACAAATCAGCCTGTTTAATTAGGGTGGCCATGGAAGCATCCCCCGAACATAGGACATCCCCACGCCTGCCTGCATGGGCCCACCTCCAACTGTCAGTTGGCCGGCCTGGACCCACCACCACCTTTGTCAGCATACCCCCACCTGCATCATTCTGCATCAAAGTGCCATCCCACACTCCTGCCCCCACCCTCACAGGTGTCCTCCTGCATCCTCAGTTTCCTCCTGTCTCTTTTTCACCAGACAAAGCCACATCCAGGGACCTGGTGGCTTCTGGGATTTATATCATTTTGTTCATTAAACCTTCTCAAAAACAGGTTTATTGATTCACCCCCATGTGACTCCAGTGTCCTGTTATGTGCTGTACCACTAATCAATTCATAAATACCAATAAAGCTTGGTTATAATTGAGATCTCACTCTAATTACTAAAATACCTGAACCTGATTTTGTAACAAGTCAGACTATGACACACTCCCAGTCTGCATTAATAAGGTTTCATCTCCTTGGTGGTCCTGATGTCACAAAGCAATTCACCAACAATCATCTTGGGTTTTGGGTGGAAAAACACCCAGCTCCACACCCCTCTCACCCATCTAAATGAAACCTCTGAAATCCTTTATGGTTCTTCAGGAAAAAATCCAGGCCCATTTGAAGACTCGGCGGCAAGAGAGAGAAAAGCTTCTGGAATTTAAAATGACTGGAGAAAGAAAAAGCCAGGAGTATCTGGTAGGTGCCTGTTATAAATTGGCGGGGACTGTCACTGGGAGGTCCATTTGGAGGCAGATTCCTATATGGCCTTGGTGAACATGGACTTGCGTGTGTTTCTCCATGATCACAGATTGCTGGGTTAGATTTATGTGTAGACAAGCCCTAAGCTTCCATTTCAGTTGATGAGTTAATGTCTCGCCCTTCTGGCTTTCAGAGAAATCCCCCAAGTGAACAGAATGTCACCTGTGAGGTGCTGTCCACTGTGTCTGGTCATTCTGTGCATTGTTAACATATTTGTTCTTTTTTCTTCCCTGGCATCCATGTCAGTGTAGTACTGAGTCCTGCCTCCTGCTGCTCTGGGTTTGAATTCACAGACTTCACCTCTAGCCAGGGGGTGCTCAATCCCCCACTCTGCCCCCGGTCTGTTATACCAATAACATAAAAACTAGCAGGATTTTATTAAAGGGAATACAGCAAAATGCCACGTTTATTGTGAATACAGAAAGAATCTTAGTAAGCAGTCAGTTTGTAGCTATAACATGCCATTCAGTTTCACATTCATTCACACATTCATTCATACACACACAGGTTCTGCAAGGTTGTTATCATAGTTACCAGCCTTAGAGTTGCTTGTGCCAAGCCACTAGCCAGGTGGTTTGGACACGAGGATGGAGCCGAGTCTTGTCAGAGGCGCAGCCGATGCTCCTGGAGGATGGTTGCAGAACCAGACTCAAAGTTCTCAGTCTTCAGAGTCTGTCTTTATAGGAATTCATTCTCATTCAAATCTATACGGTTTGCTTTGTCATGCTGCTCTTACGTTTGAAGTGATAATCAATCACTGTTCTCAGGTTTGAAATGATAGTCCATCATGCAGATGGCACAGCAGTGACAGCTTGTTGTTATCTTGTTCTTCAGTTTTTTGGCCCCTCCGTCCTTGGGGTAGTTGGGGATGGATTCCAGTTTGTCCTACGGGGTCATCCAGTTATCTCCATCCTGCGCATTCTTCGGCCAAATGTTCCTGGGTAGTTATTATTTATTAGGCTGGCACTTCAACCTTGTATTATTCATTCAAACATACCTTTACAATCACACCCTATTTCACTTGACAACTATTCTCAAATCATTGGGGCATGACAGACTCCAATGAATCTATCCATGTGTC